TTTATAAGTTGATTTTAACGTGTTTAAACATTACTTAATTGTTATTTGTAATTTGATGTAGTTTATAGAGTATTCAAATGTTGTGTTTGATTTAGAAATACTGGTTTATTTTGTATTCGGTTTGTGTGAACTTAAAGAGTTCACAGGTGGGGAGTGTTGTAAAGAGAGAAGTAGAGGGCACTGCTTGGCAGTAGCGCAACGCATGTAAGTAGAAACGAAATGTCGTTTGATTAGGCAACATGATTTCTGTGAAGGTAGTCCACCTAACAATAGGGCAGTTGTAAATATAACGAATAATAAATAGCATTAGAAAACTGAACCACCGATGCTTTGTGATTGCTCTACGGGCCGCCATGGATAAATGCAGGTTCGTCACAGCAAGAAAAAGACAGAGCAGTACTGATGCATAATACCTATATAGGATAGATCGTACATCAATATTGATGAGAAGAACTCTGATTGCGTAGTATGTTAGTATTTTGAGTTCATAATATTTAAGAAACTTGGCAGTCAAGGCAGTTTTGATTCTATTTTTATTTCCAGTTGGCATTTGTGGCCATAATCACTTGGCACTCTAGTTGTGCCTACTCACAGAACATTTACATTTTTGATACTTTTGCAATAGGAAGCGATTCAGCGAAATTGCTTACAAGCACTGCACAGACAGAAGCTAAAGTGTGTAGTTATCCAATATGGAAGTACACAAAGAGAAAACTTTCACTTCCCAATTATTATATCATCAGCCATGCAAAATGAAATGATCTAGAAATGATGCAATCCGGAGAAGTTATTATGGTTTTTTAAAAAAGAGAGGGATAATTAAAGGGTTATCGTTAGTTTAAATTATAATTTTGATTTACTTATTTTTTTCATCTTGCATATATATATGAAGTAAAAAAGTGAGGCAATTTACATTTATGTAATAAATATATGGAAATTATTACAATATTTATGTGAGATATATGTAAAAGCTATGAATAAAGTGGAATCATCCATATGAACATACCTAAATTTCATGTATAATTTATTTATATTGTAATATAAAAATATACGTATATATTATTTTTTTCTGGGTGCATTTTATATTTTTACATTCATAAGTTTCATGTTATTTATACATTCATGTTATTCATGTTATTCCATGTTATTTCATTATATTTATACGAAGGGCATTTTGTAAATTATATGCATTTTTCATATGCAGTTTACAAATTCATGCTGCCTGGGAACATGCTATGTATGTACTAGGTAAAGATTACCAGTAAAAATGAATTTATTTAGATAAACAAAAACTGTATTGACTACAGTGCTGACAAGATTTTTATAATACACGATACAATAATATGTAAGCATTACTGCTCTGAACTTGGGATTAATTTTATTGCAGCTAGTTTATAACACAGGTATTACAGTACAAAGTCTTTAATCCGGACTCGTCGGGACTTCGGCGATTCCGGATTATAGATCATCAATTTAAATCTGGTAAGATGGCATGCAGAAATTATAAAATTAAAAATATGAAACCCTAATTTATGAAATAAAGAGCAATTATGATCTAAAGGGTATCAAAATTTACAAAAAAAAAAAAGGCTTAATATTTATTTGTTTACTTTATTAAACATTTCTTTCAATATAAGTTGTTTAAGTTGCTTCATTTTTATGTGCTAATACTTTCGCTTTAATTCTATAAACGGACATAATTTCTTGTTCAGTTACAAAGTTTCACTGTTCAAGTCCTGCAATTGCTGTGCCGAGAATACCGACTAACTTGTCAATCGAAATTTTTTCATTTTCACTAACCTCTCTGTCACTTTCTTCATGCCTTTATCCATTTTTTTGCAGCAATTCTACTTTTTGTTTGATGGACATCGAAACATGCTTTTGCTTTTAGATCATTTGGCAGCTCCAGAATCGGAAACTCTTTTTGACATAATTGAAGTTCAAGCTTACTTTTTATAAAATTGCTCTAACAGTCTGCAAAAAATAATAAGCTGGATCCAATTAGAAGATTAAGGAACAACGCAATCTGCAACATTAACTGAAATAGGTAATTAGATAACTTTAGCCTAGCTTATACCATCCGTTATACATTAAATGCGCATGCGTAAATGCATAATGCGTTTACGCATGCACAGAAAGTATGTACCTTTGAGGTCCGGATTGAAGACTCTATACTGTAATAATGTCCCATGATACTTGTGATAGCACGAGCTCTATTTCATTTAATCAAAGCATGTTTTCTTTTAAAGATATATGAAGAATTCCATGTCTATATAAATGTGTTGTATATTGTAATTTTGAAATCATAATCTGTCAGGCATTATCAGGTTGAATATCTATTAACATTTTTTAATAGAAGTCATTCAAATTTGTAATTTATTAAAATGTACAATATTTCTGAACTCATAAACTTAATATCATAACAAAAGTTGAAAAATGCAAATAAAAATTTATAAATTGCAGCTAATTTTAATAAACTATCAATATTTTCAATTACTTATTATTTGTTTAAAAACCTGAGTTTTTATGTTTCAGATTTCTCATTCAATTACGAGAAACTTTTTCAAATATGTTCGAATTAATATGTGTAGTGACTTCATGTACAAATGTAAAAAAGCAGAAATTCTTCTTAACATGCAAGAAATATTGCAGATTACCAAAATCATTCACAGAACAAAATTTAAACTAATAAACATTGAGTAAGAAGTTTAGTAATGTAAAACAAACTAAGAATTTCCATATGGCTTCTACTACCAGCCCATGCCTGTTCACAACCTTCTATAGAGTAAATTCTCAGTAACTAAATCTCAGAAGATGCCAAACAAACGAAATGAATATATTGCAAATTAGATAACTAATAATTTTAGTATATTAACTGTCAATAATTTAATTTAAAAGTAGTATTAATTACTCTAAATTTCAATTATCACCATGAATAATTTTCTCATTACCTTAGTTTAAAAAAAAGAAATCTCCCATTGTCCCCACCACCCCAACCATTACCATGTGTATGTCTTCAATATAAGTGTCTTCAATACTTTCAAATTTTTACATGGCATCATTGTATTTCAGTCTCTAAAATCTTCATCTCTGGAATGTCAATGTCCAAAAGATCAATCAGCTCATTCATTTTCAAAGTAATTTTACTACAGCTTCATTAATTGCAAATACAATATGTTTGAATCAGTTTAATCACTGCTAGCATCACCAATTTTATCATTTAGATTGCTTGCAAAACTGAAATCTTTGCAACTAAACCTATGTCAACCTTGTGAATGAATTTCTAAAGGAGATATTTTTGAGAACACTTTTAGATTTTGCATAACTCCCAGTTCAAGGGTTGGAGGGTTGAATATCAAATTTAAAAGGAAGGAAGCATAATATAACAGAAGAAAGATTTCCTTTCTAATTTTGGCAGCTATGCAATTATCTATTAAAATGAATACAATTTTACGAATTTTACTATTAAATCTGAAACCACATTTTAATTGCCATCTTTCAAGTTTTCAAAATTGCTTTATATCTGACAATCAAAATGTACCTTGAAAGCATCTAGGTTTTTTCACCTTACCCAATACTGAAAGCTTTATTTTCTCTGCAATATTCATATTAACAAAGGTCATAAAAGTTAAACTTTCTTTACAATGTATTTTATGTGCCTTCCTTTTCAAAGCTTAACTTTCTTATAGAGAAATTTTTTTAAATAATCCAGTTTCATGACAGTTTAAAATATAGGTTTCATAGCTTATTACAATGCATCTATCAAAATATATGTTTTGCTCCTACAGTTTCATTCAAGGCATTTCCATTTTCCCTATATACAGATTTGAAAATGATTTGATCCCACAGTTTAAATTTTACAATCAGTTTTAACTTGCTCAGAATTCATTGCATCCAGTCTTTTAAGCAAATAATGAAGCTTCTTGTAGCATAAAATCTAAAACAGGGATTAACTTCTCTCTCACTGATTTTAATGATAACAGCACAGCAACTTCCAACATCCTTAAAATCAGATACTCTTAATCTCTTTCTGAAAGATTCAATAGAAGATACAAAGACTTAAAATATCTTTAACAAAAGTGGTGATTAGTTGTCCTTGAGAATGCCTTCCCCCCAATTCCTGCTTCATTTTAACATTGTGAATTTTGTGAAAAATGTTTACTGAAATTTGAAATAATTTTCCAGATCAAGAGCCATGATAAGCTAGCAAAATACTCAGAATTTAGTGAAAATATTAATTTTCAAACTGAAATTTGTTGGAGAAAGAAGCTCTGTAAAAAAATCTTTGGAGTAACTCTTTTAAGTCATCACTAATGATCTTCATCCCTGTACTAATGGGATGTGTGATTAAGAAAGGTAAAAATCTTTTTAAAATTTTTAGAAGATTGCAAAATAAAATGTACTTAGTATAAGATAAGATATATATATATATATATATTTTAAGCAACAAGGTCAAGTATGACAAGTTAAATTATCCCTCTTTTTGGCATGACAAGTTAACAAGATTTTTTTGCCCATTATAAAATGTATGGAAGAAGCAGGGATTTGTGTTAAGTTACCAAGGTTTCACTTAATTCGTTTTAATCATTTCTGGTATCTTCTTCAAAAATGGTTTTCCAGAAATTTTAAAATGTTCTCAAGATGGCAAAAAATTCAAAATATTATTTAGCAAATGAAATTCCAACACTCAGGTATTTTCCATATCTCTAGTTTTAATTGGTCTATCCTTATAATTCCATTGTTAATTAATTCAGTGTATAAATAAAAACACATGCAATAAAAGCGAGTTACCACAAATTAAAAAACATACAAGAAATAGACACAGAACTCTATCTAAAATAAATGAAATATTTAAACATATAAATAAAACAAATATATAACAATGTAAAAATACATAAAATCCACATTACAACCAGCCAAAAATAAATCCATAAATTACAACAAAGACTAACTTGTTAGCCATATAATTCAACTTCCTGGGAGTATCTAGGATAACCTCTTATTATTACTTAAAATAAGTGTATCCTCTATTACGTAAATATTATTTACTTACCAAACAATAGCTAATCTTGGTATTGTGAACATAAGAGATGGATCATAATCATCAACCATTTCTTGCGTGACTAAACCAATTTTCAAAGCTCTGGGAACAAATATTTAAGAAATTAGCATTTACTACAATAAAAACAATTTACTATATTTTTTTTATTACCTCTAGTAATACAACTATACATTACTCACTAAACATGACTATTAAGAAAGCAAGAAGAGAAAACAAAAGGAAATTGTATGGGATTATCAAGTTAGACGAAATTAAGATGATTCTTATTCATTAAAAAAAAAAAAAAAAAAAAAGACTTCTTCCTTCCAGCATAAAATCTCACCAGTTAATAACTTAATATCTAAAGAACTTTTTTATCTTTGGAAAAAAGTATCAGAAAGCTAACAATATAAGGTATTTCTCCCACTTTCCTAGCGTGCCTTAGTGGTATAGTGGTTCTGCACGCTGGGCTGGTATTTTAGAGGCTCGATTCCGGGCGAAGGCAATTGCTCATTTTTCATCTTGCCTGCTTCCAAAACAATACCTAATGTCTCTACAACAAAATCATCAACTTTCCCAGAGATCTCAATGAAGAATATTCATCTGATATATTTTAATACGTTTCATTTTACACAAAATATAAATTGCTTTGTGAGATGGCTGTCTTCCAACAACTTGAGTGCCAAAGTAGCTACATGGGATTTCAATATGGAATTCTGACAAGCCATTGTTTGAATACCTTCAACTTGAAGAAAGTCATCAAGTGAAACCCTGTATGGTCAAGCATTATCATCTACTAACTGAAAGTTAAAAGTAACAACCTTAGAAATGTCTCGCACAAGAACACAGAATCTCATCTGTGTTATGTACAGCATTCATATTCTTTACATAGAATACAGTGGTACCTCGACATACGAGTTTAATTCGTTCCGTAACCTTGCTCATATGTCAAATTGCTCGTATCGCAAAGCAATTTTCCCCATTGAAATTAATTGAAATGCCATTAATCCGTTCCAGCTCCCAAAACACCACCTCGGTTGTTTTTCTTAAAAGAAAAATGTATTTACAAGAAGAAACATTTATTTATAAATAACAAATACATATTCTATAAAAACATAAAAGAAAAAGTGAAGTTTTTACAGAAGTGTTTAATTTTCGTCACTGGTCTTCGCTTTTTTCGTCACGCTTTGCTTATTTTCACCTGCAGATCGTTTAAAAAACCATCCAAGGAGGTTTGTTTCTTTCTCCCTTTCAGGATATTGTGGAAATGAGCTAGGCAAGTTTCGTTGAACAACTCCGATGCACGACCAGTTGCAACTTTTTCAGGGTCATTTTTATCCACAAACTCTTCAACTTTCTCCTACGTTCCCAAGATATCCCAGAGTTCGTAGCCACATTTTAGTTAAAAAAATAAGCACCTATAAGCACTTTTCAAGCACATTTTAAGAAAAAAAATAAGCACCTGTCTAATTACATTATACACAACTGCATAACCTTAAAAGAAAAATTAGACTTGTAATTTAAAATATGAGAAAGGCAGTATTTATTAAGAAGAGCATTACCTCAACCAGGGAAAATAATTACCTTTTTTCTTTTTTAATTTTAAATAACAGTTCAATTTACAGAGCTGGTTTACAATGAGTGAAAAAAAAACTATACAGACCTAATCTATATTATAAGATTTAATGATGAAATTTCACTTCAAAATATAGAAAATAAATAATAAACCATATTTACGCTTGGCACCTAATAATAAATACAATTTATTTTTACACTTGTATTAATATTTAAATAATTCAACTTAAATCAAAATTCTGAACATTTTCTAAATTTTCACTGTATAACAGTTTTCCCTTAACAGATATTGCAAGCAAAGTAATTTAAGTAAAAAAGAGGAACATTTCTGAATTCAGAAGATGGGAAATTGCTTCATGCTGTCATTCATCCTTTAATAGCAAAAGCTTAACTAACCCGCATACTCGGAAATTGCCGAATATTTAGGACAGTCAAGCGTAATTGGAAAAAGAGGGCGGGACGGGGGTTAGATTGTAACCGGCGTTCTTTAGATTTTTCGGCTAAATAAATGCTTTTGGCATTTTAATATGTGTATCATATAAAAATAGACCAACAGAACTGAAAAATATTCTGCTTAGCAAGCACAGTAACACCCTTTTAAGTGTTCGTACACAAATCTCACACTGAACATCAAAATGCAAATCTGCAATATATCGCAAATGTTATTGCGCAATACGTGTGCCATAATTCTTCCGTATGTGATATTGCGCAATCGGAATTAACAGCTGCCGGTATTCGGAAAATAAAGAACTAAATAAAGGAAAAGAAAGAGACTTACTAATCTGGGGTGTTTTTTATTCTAATTTTAAACAGACTGCATTAAATTTCCAGAATAGAATACAATTCTTCGCTTGGAGTCGGGCAGATCGCAAAGAACTTTTAGTTCCTATTCAATTCCAGATTGGAAAGTGATAAAAAAGTAAGTCCGTTCGCTTGCTTCAGCGAAATGTAACGGTTTTCAATATTCGAGATTTTCACAGAGAAAGGGAGAACCTTCCCAAACCTCCGTACTGTATAATGTATTGGCAAAAAAAAAAAAAAAAAAAAAAAAAATTTAAAAATTATTGACTATTCGATTACTTTTCCTTTTATTTAAGCCATTCTAAATATTATTCCTTAGAAAGCTAATCTGTGTTAAGAACACACCCATTTTTGGAAGTTTATCTATACTTCGGCAGTTACTGCAACTATATTATTATAAATATTCATACATATGCTCATAATATAAGCATAACGATCGATAATAAACACGAATATGAAACTGACCACACGGAACGAGAATGCAAATTATTAAAATCTTGATAGAAATTCAAACGTTGTGTAGTATTTGGGTGGGAGGGAAAAGAATACCGAATGTACCGGAATTTTCTACGGTTTTCGCAATTCTTTGACCAAACGAACGACGCGCACCTGTCTATACTGTACTCATGCGCGCACCAAAGGTTACGTTAATGCAAAGAAAGGGGGAACAGCTATTTCCAAGAGTATGATTCACCATTTGACGTTCCATTTGAGGAAGAAAAGTTGTTTATTTAGTTTCGGCTTTGGTACGGGAAAAAATGTGCATTCATTAAAAAAAAAAAAAAAAAAGCACTAAAAGCAAAAAATAAGCTTAAAAACAAAAAAAAATAAGGGCTTTAAAGAAAAAGTAAGCACCTATAAGGGCCTTTATATTTTATTTTCAAATATAAAGACTTATAAGCACTTGTAAGGACCGCTACGAACCCTGTCTCCTTTATATCTCTTGTAACCTCCTCCATCTCTGCCTCCTCTTCAAAACTAATTTTTCGTTGAACCACCGTATGCTGCTGCGAATGTAGATCATGTAACTCCTCGGTTGTCAGCTCCTGAGACTGTTCCTCGACGAGTTCGTTCACATCTCTCTCATCCACCTCCAGACCCATGGATTTTCCCAGAGAAACAATCTCCTCTACCACTGACACTTCGGGTTCCAATCCTTCGAAGGCCCTTTCAGCTACAGCCTCAGGCCACAGTTTCTTCCATGCAGAGGTTAAGGTCCTCGTTGTAACACCCAGCCAGGCCTGATCAATAATTCTTAGGCATATCACGATGTTAAAGCGGTCCTTCCAGAACTCTCGAAGGGTAAGGTTTGTGTTCTCTGTCACCTCAAAAGCAGCACGAAAAATGTGCTTGGTGTACAACTTCTTAAAATTAGAAATCACCTGCTGATCCATGGGTTGCAGGATAAGAGTGGTGTTGGATGGTAGGTAGAGAACCATTAGAAACTTGAACTCTTCGAGTAAAGCATCTTCGAGGTTTGGTAGGTGAGCAGGGCAATTGTCGAGGACGAGAAGGGCCTGCATGGGTAGGTTGTTTTCCTGTAGATATTTTTAACAGAAAGGCCAAACACCAGGTTTATCCACTCCACAAAGAATTTTTTGGTGACCCACGCCTTCGGATTTGCCCTCCACATAACTGGCAATTTTTCTTTTTAAAATCTTATGTGACTTAAAGGCTCTGGGATTTTCCGATGATATACCGTTTATGCCATCGAATCTAATGCGCATTCCCATTTTAAACTTTAAATAATAAAAAAATGTTTGTCAGCGAATGTAATGCGCATCAATGGTATGAGGAATTTATTGAATCTTTTATACAACAATGGATTTGTATATAAACTATCAATCAATGGTATGATAATTTTATTTTAAATTTAGATACGATATTTTATACAACAATGGATTTATACATAAAGTAACAGAACATAGAATTAACCTATTAGTGGGCTATTGTTATGTGAAACAATCATTGTTAATTACCACTACCGTATATACGGTACATATCGTAAAGTATGAACATGAAATAAATGGTAACATTTCTATCTAGCTAACAGTTTCTACAATCAGTGATTAATAGTAAACGTCTTTATTCACTATTTTGATGATAACTTTTTTAGTCCCCTTCTCCGTAATGGTGTAGTTACGAGGCATATCAAACCAAATTGGCGTCTCGTCAGCGTTGCCAATTTGCCCCATTTGAAAAATTCTTTTTCCTTCCGAAGTGTGATGACATACCGCTAAAATGTTAGTAGTTTTCCCTCAAAATCTGCAGGAAGCTTTTGGCATATTGTTCTACGGCGTCTTAGAGATAAGCCCATCCGATTCATAAACCGATCCAGCCATCCGACGGCTAGCCTTTTAAACTCTTGTTCGGTATTCCAAGAACTTCAGCCTCCTCTTTTGCTTTATTTCTTATAGTGTCGCTAGTCACAGGTTGTCCATTCTTCCTCCTTTCACGTACAAATTCCAAAACCTTTTCTTCAATTTTAGGGTGTCTTCCTTTGCGAGGGCCAGTGAATTTCTTCTACTAGTTTTAGTTGCAAACAGTGCCAATTTCTGTTGCCGCCACAAGCGAACTTTGCTCTCAGCTACATTCAACTCTCTCCCAGCCTTTCTATTGCCATTTCTTTCAGGATAAAGAATTACTTTATGTTTGAAAGTAGCATCATATGACATTCTTCTCTGCTTGCCCTCCATTTCGTGACTACGTACTCTGCAGTATGCAATAATGTGTCAACGATAAATGTAACGGTAAATGTAGTCGAGAAATACAGTAATCCATTGTTACGATTTAAATTCGGTTGACGTCATCGGCGAACTTTGCACTCGAATCTAATGCGCACCCCAATTTTGAGTACTACATTTGGCCAAAAACGATGCGCATTAGATTCGCGTAAATACGGTACTAGCAGAGGCTCGATTTTGCAGTCGCCTCTCGTATTGGTGCAAAGTGCTAGAGTTAATCTCTCCTTCATGGGTTTGTGACCTGGCATCGTCTTCTCCTCTGCCGTTATATAAGTCCTATTCGGCATCCTTTTCCAGAAAAGACCTGTCTCGTCACAGTTGACGACTTGCTGGGGGATGTATCCTTTGGCTTCTATCAGTTCGGAAAAAGTTTTGATGTAAACCTCAGCTGCCTTCACATTCGAACTTGCTGCCTCACCATGCCCTGACGACGGAGTGAATGCCGGTCCTTTTTCCTAAAGTTGTCAAACCAGCCCTGAATGGCTTTAAATAAGTATTCCAATTCCTCATTTGTGGAAGTGTGTGGGATCTGCTTCAGCAAATCACCGTAAATCACTTGTGCCTTCTTACATATGATGCTTTGTGTTAAGGTTCTTCCTTGAAGCTGCTTCTCTCTCACCCACACCATCAGTAGTTTCTCCATCTTTCATGAAGAAAGGTCCAGAGCTTAGAAATTATTGTAACACCCTTAGCTGGTGTTATACCCTTTATTAACTCCTTCTGTTTAAGCATTATACATATCATGGATGTGCTACACCCGTACATCCTCACCAAGTCAATTACTCGCACACCTTCCTCATGTTTTTCTATGATTTCCCGCTTTAATTCAATAGACATAATTTTCTTCTTCGGACCCATGGTTATAAAAATAAATGTGATAATATTTTGCAAATGTACAAAATAGCAAAAAATGCGAACTTGTCAAAAATGCTTCGAAAATGAGGGAAACAAGCACACAGACTGAGGTGGGAGAAACTGTAAGATGCTGCAGACGACACCATGCGTGTGCATGTTCCGGTCGTGTGCAGCGGTGTAGTGTGCGATTCTTCGTATCTCAAAGCAAAATATCACTCACTCGGCGGCTCGTATCTCATAACACTCGTATATTAGGGGCACTCGTATATCGAGGTAGCACTGTATGTGCTAGTGCCTGTAGCCTTTAAATATTATTCTGACCTACATAGCAAACTACGCCTCCAAAAAATTTTTGTTTCTTCACTTTGACAGAGGATTTAGTATTCCTGGGACTTTCACACAAACTGAAGCTCAAGTCAGGAAGAAAAAAAAATATATAAGCCATCTTCACTCAATGATAGTTTTAAAAGTTTACAAGGCCCATAATATGAAAAGAAATGAGAGATACACAATGTTGCCTTCTAGGTATACACAACTTTATGAAGTTTCTGTAGCAAGGTTTGCCAATAAATTTCTATTAGTGACCTTGGAAAGCTGGAAAAATAGTAGCACAGCAGAATACATCTTATGTCTTTTAGTTAACCCTTTGCGGTGCACTACTCTTTAAAGTTGGTATTTCAACAAGAAAAGTTGTATGCAGTCTATCTAGGCCTAAAGGAGTATACAGATAAAATTTTGTAAAAATTGCACTTACTGTTTCAATTCTGTGGGTGTTCCATGAGGTTGGAACACTGCGCCACCAGAGCTCTTAAAAATGTGACTAAGCGAGCATTGCAGTGAAGCATGGAAATGAGTAGAAGCTTATGTATAGTAATGAAAAAACACTGTATTATAGCTGTATACATGGTTTTCTGGATATACACAACTTTCTTGAATACATATGGATAAATGAGATAAATATATGTATATACAAAGTCCTATATACAAAAATATTTACAAATTTTTCGATTTCATAGCTTCGTGAAATTTTCAAAGCATGTCACATATTTTTGGTAGAAGCCCAGACCAACTTTGCCGGTTTTGAACAAAAAACTTGTTTTGTGCGGCTTCTGTTCCGTGCAACAATATGTTTAGAATTCCAGTAAAAAGAAAGAAAAAAGAGAAAAAGATGTTTTCCTACCATTTATGGAAAATTAATAATAAAAAATTAATTGCAATTAATATTAATGATAAAGAAAAATAAGCTATAAGATATGCATACACATTTATTGTAAATAAACAGGAATGAGACTAAAAAAGCAATATGCCCATATTAGGGCTTTTATAGCACAAACCACACCTCACCCTCAAGACTGCTTTGTTTGAATTCATTCCCCCAAAACAATATAAATAGAAAACATACACAACAGATGTTTTCTCCTAAGACTGATGTTCTGATGTGTAATAGCATGAGATCGCTAAAGGCGCAGTGTTCCTGCTAATGGAACAACACCATTTTATTTAATGATTCTGTGCATGCTATTTGTATGAAAAATGTAAAAAAATATATAACAAATAATATAGAGTACAGCCATCAAAATTATACAGAATTTTTTTTTTCAAACAAATTTTTTTGCGTCACAAAAAATATAGAAAATAAGTGGATTTTAATAATACATCATAAATGAAAATACTGGGTCTCCTTGTGATATGCTGCTATCTATTATTAAAAAAAAAAAGTTCGAAGTATATTATAAAGGCATTTTTATCCATTTACGGTTGAATTTAACAGTTTCAGAAGCGATTCAATTTGGGTGTTCCATGTAGTGGAACACTGAGCAACAAAGAGTTCATACTGCTTAATAGCAGTGATTTCTTATCATTGTACATCTTGTATGGCATTGGTCATATCATGGCTGTCATTCCTAATGACTGTATGTATATTTTATATGGCACTGGCCATATCATCCTGATATACCAAAATTCTCATTAAATTTAGTCAAAATCTTAATTACAGAAACAGCTGTGATAAACATACTGAGCTGAATCTTCAAGTTTTTTGCAATTTAGAAATAGCCTGTCTTAAGGTGGTTTCTTGATCTCTAGTACATGGCACGCCAAATGCAGTTATAAATTACAAACATCTCTTTGCACTCGGTGATTCTTTTCGGCCAGATTAAGTAGGCTACTTAATTTGAAATATTCTTAGTTTTTGACTGTACAATATGCATTACATTCTCTTAACCAGAATGTTTCTAACAATGCATTTATTGTGATAATTTTAATTCCATTTTATATATTAGTTTTAATTAAATAGCAGAGAACCTATATTTTAATTTTAGACATGTGTACACAACATGAAAAAGTTTCAAATATTTTGATGTTCTGTTCAGCAAAATTTAGATTCCATGCTACTCTAACAAATTTTTCATATACATATTTGTTCTTCGAATTTCAGATACTAAGAAACCCAACACACACAAAGATTTAAATCAAATATTTTTTAAAACATATTCATAAAAAAATATTACCTGATGAGAGTTTCTGAAAATAAAACAACTATTTCTTGTTGCAAATGATACTCTTTAGCACTCTTGATAGGAACCATGGCACTCACATAACTAAAAAGGGAAGAAAAATAAAATTCTAAACTTATTATAACTTGCTGAAATTAGATAAATTTAACTAATATTTAAAATTATATAATATTTTATTTACTCATATAGCTTAATTCTTAACAATAAAACTACAGATATTCTGAGATTTTATACACACAAAGCATCATAGTTTACAATCTATAATCACATAAAAAGCAAAAAATGAAAGTTACTAGTTAGATAAGGCTTTCAACCCTTTTACACCGTATGCACATTAAGGTCTCTAAATTCATCACATAGCTGTCTTAATTTTTCATCATTTATTATTGTAGACCTTATAAATCTGACATAATTCGCAAAGGATTTAGACATCAGTAAGATATTTTTCATAAAGAAATCAAACAGCATAATTTCTCACCTGATGAGATTGTTTATTCTTGTGATAATTACTAATTATAACAGGAAAGCAAAACAAGACTAGATAAGAAACAAAATAGAAAACAGTCACTCAACGGATAACTTGTACCTGCTGTAAATGTGCAATATGACCTGCTGTTTTCAATATTTAAAATTTCCACTTTTTTAAAATTTTATTTATTCATTTTTTATTTTCCACTATCACTTCCAGCATTGCCAAGTTCTACTTTATGACAAATGAATTAGAAAATAGTTTAAGGGAAAAAGGAGGTAAATTTGTTCTCCATAAAAAAAAAAATAAATAAATAAATAAAAAGTTAAATTCCTTTAGAAAATGCAACTAACTATAAAACCATGAATGTAGTCAACAGTTACATTTAAGCTCAATAACTTAGACTGCATTGATCATCTTGCTTAATTTGACACTCAATACAGTTGCTATGCAACAATTATTGAAAGCATCATCTGCGACAAATCCAGAACTAACCAAGATAAACATAAATAAATAATGGAACAATTCCCAACATGACAATGCATCTACAGAAGTGGCAAAAGATGCAGAAGACATAGCTGAACCAGACAGAGCTTACTAATGTAATGAAAACAGACTAATGAAAGAAAGAAAGAAATTAAATGAAATACACTAATTTATACTATTAATTCTTGAAGTAAAATTTTAAAAAATTAAATGAAATAAGTAATTAAACTTTCAGTATTAATTATGGAAGTAAAATTTTTTAACTTCCCACAAGGTCTGTCAACTGCTAACTTTATGGTAATATACCTATTCTCATAAAGACATAAGTAATAGTTTCTGATTTCAAAAGTGTTAGGAAACAACCACATTACTCTATTTTCCAATCACATCAGAATGACCAAATTTAGAAGCAAAGGTTTTACATAAAATAAAGCAATGGGTGGCATAAATTGCTGGGGAAATGAAAACTATGGGGAATTTTTAAAATGCCAGCGATCAAGTTCTTGATACAACTCAATGAGAAATCAGCAGTATAACAACAAAAAGTATAAATGCTTCAAATTTTCTTTACAAATGACTGAATAAAAAGCACATCAATATAAAGCACTTATATTTACAAGACATTATTTTATGCAGAAAGAGGGGGATAAACAATATAGTACAATTTGAATTAAAAAGAGTTAACATTATTATAACAAAAATATCCTCTATTAACACAAAATTACTACATAAGTTTTTGATGATCTATGATAAACCCCAAAATTAACATTTTTTGTTTAATAAATTTAAATTATATAATATTTTGAAAGCACATAAGATATAACATACTTTAAGCTTTTACACAAAATCATAAATCACATACCATAACTCAAATTCTGCAAATAATCTGTCAAATATCCTTAGTGCTTCACGTACCTAAAATTCAAAATCTATTGTTAAAACAGTCATTTTTTTATTTGCATATGAAAATATCTTTTAAGCAAAGTTTTATTTCTATTTTAAATATAGAAAGCTTTTAATGCTAACAAATTTTATATTAAATTTTGTTAATTTAAAAATTTGCATCAAATTTAATTTTTCATTTATGGGGAAACTATAATTTAATGAAATACAGTCAAGTCTTTAATCCGGATGTCCATAATCCGGAATGATCTATAACCTGGACCTCAAAACTACGAACTTTCTGCGCATGTGTAAACACATAATGTGGTTATGCATGTGAGTTTAATGTATAACAGATGGTATAAGCTAAGCTAAAATTATCTATTTCAGTTAACGTTGCAGATCGTGTTGTTCCTTAATCTTCTAATTGGATCCGGCTTATAATTTTTTGCAGACTGTTAGAGCAGTTTTATAAAAGTAAGCTTGAACTTTCGATTATGTCAAAAAGAATTTCCGATTCTGGAGCTGCCAAAGGATCTACAATGCAAAAGCATGTTTCGATGTCTATCAAACAAAAAATGGAATTGCTGCAAAAAAATGTATAAAGGCATATACTTTGTTTATCTAACCATTCCAAAATATGTTTATCAATTTGACGCTGCTCTGGGGGGAGGGCAATGAAATGGGAGTTGATCTGTCAGCACTATCCGTATCTTCAGGGCAGATGTTTTTATTTTATTCGACTTATAATTCCTTACTAAATGTAGTATTTCATCTCGATGTATTCCGCCTTTGATATGATTTAAATCAAATTCCTCATTATAAATATCACGAATATGCAACAAATAGTTTTCTAGTTGCAATTTTCTAATTTCGACTATGCGTAATGTACGCTGTACGCATGCACGCATTGAAAGAAATGTTTACTAAAGTAAACAAAGAAATATCAAGCTTTTTTTTGCAAATTTTGATACCCTTTAGATCATAATTGCTCTTTATTTCATAAATTACGGTTTCATATTTTTAATTTTATAATTTCTGCATGCCATCATACCAGATTTAAACCGATTATCTATAATCCGGAATCGCCGAAGTTCCGACGAGTCCGGATAAAGACTTTTAACTGTATATATATATATATATATATATAAAGGGAGGAGGAATTATTTGCATGACTTCTAAATAATAATTTTGTAACACATATACAAAACAAGAACATTTTTTTAAGCACTGACATAAAACATTCCATTGCAGTTAAATATCCAAATCCCAAAACTAGCTCCTTGAATTAAAATCTGAAGAACAAAATATTGTTTTGCTGTTGCCACTGAATCACAAAAAAGAGAGAGTGCACACAACCTGTTGACTTGTTACATTCTGCCTCTCACTGACGATTTCAACCTATGAGGACAGCAATGCAATCGTTTTGCAGGGTCTTCCTCTTTTCCTTTAAGTTTCTACTGGGCTCATATTCACATTAAGGCCATAGGGTCTACGAGCAGAGACATGATAAGACTCTTATTTGTTTGTTAGGTTTGCTGGTGATTGCTATCGCATAAGCAGATAGAGATTTTTGAGTTAGGATAACATAGGGTTTGTCACAGCTAGGCAAAAACTTGCCTGTTTTGGATTGTTATGCTCTGCTTAAAGGATGACTTCAGACCAATCATGGACATGAATAGTGTCGTTTTAGCATCATGCAAAAGGTTGTCCAACAAAGGCAATGGATACTTATCTGGAACAGTGATAGTATTGAGTTTCCTATAGTCTACACACAATCTCACATCACCATTAGGTTTTGGGACTAAACAATGGAGCTGTGTACAGTGATTCACACTCCACGATTATGCCCATCTGGAGATCACCATCTAATTCTTTCTGAAAAGTATCCTTTTTGTATGTGTGTAAGGAGGTACAGCTATGGGACAAAGATCTCTGATATTAATGTAGTTACCACCCCCTGGTTGAAAGATTCTTTGAAATGAGCATAATAATGAATCCAATTCATGTCTTTGAGAACTTGTTAGATTCACTTTTTCTTCAAGAAGAGAGCATACTTCAACTGTGGAGTTTTCTCTATGTCTTTCCTCTTTAGGAGAACCTCTGGCTGAACACAATGGTTACCAAGAACCCTCAGCAGAGAACTAAATGTTTTGACAGAAATCCATAATGATGCCTGCATTTTGTAAAAAGTCAACTCCTAAAGGAGTTTGATTGCCTCTAGCATAAAGTAGAAAAAACATCTTAGGGACAATAATTTGACTGGTACTGCTGTCTGCAGAATATTAGAATTGAAGGTATGGCTGTCAGCCAGGGAAATTTTATCTGCTGCACTTCAAATTGCTGCCCAAGTTTTTATAAAAATTCAAATAACATCCCTCCTCTTACGGATTGGCTAGCTCCAGTATCAAGATAAATGGAAAATTCAGCATCAAAAACAAAAATGTATACCTTAGGAATATTGGAGAAGAAAGTAAGTAAAGTCAAAACTTCAACTGAATTCATCAGAAGGTCCTTGTTTTGTTTAGCTAGAGAATAATTTGGGGACTTTGCTTTTAACACTCCTGGAGTGCCACAGTCATAGCATTTTAGTGAGGATTCAAAGCTTTTGTGCTTGCACTTCTCCTACCTAGAGCAAAGCTCTCTCTGTTTGGAAAATGACTATCCTGCTTAACACTCGCCTGAGCTCTCTCTCTCTTGATCTTCCAGAAATGAACTCCTTACAATATCACAAGCATCAAATTTTCCTGCTAAAACATCAAGAAAAATTGGTTATTCCCATTCGTCTAAAAAGTATTCTTTGCAATCAATGGCAATGTACTCTTTCATTTGGTCTGAAATCTTCAAATTTTTTAACAGATCAAAACTTGTAATTTTCAGATCAGATAACCAACCTTCACAGTACAACTAAAGTTAAAAGTAAAATTCCTTCCAAAGCCACAATTTTTCTTACTTTCTATAAATTCCTGAATTTTTCCTCAGTCATTCGAGAAGGACACTTTTTACATGACCATAATTCTGAAACGTTTCCTCCCATTCCCTAGAAAGTGAATTACACACCTCTGATAGCAAAATCCCAAAAAGATGAGTTGCCCATAAGTTTCAAGTTAAGTATGTTAAGTCAACCTTCAACAGTTTCATTTATCTCTCGAACCAAACTATAAATATATTGATATCATCTTCTTCAGGCTTGAAACTTGGCAAAATCTTCTGACAGTCAAGTTTAGGTAATAGGCTCTGGACAGGAAGAGGCTCTCGTTCCTTTTGAATTTCCAGCGTCAAACATAACTTTTTCAGTTCATATTCCCGATTTTTACGTTCTTTCCCCTTCTTATCCCATCAATGCTCCTGACTTGACATTGTGGTCTCAAGATAATTTTTCACACAGCTCTCATTTACCTGCAATTCACTCAAGTTAACTATTAACTCTTTAAACTCAAACATCAACTTCACTGTTTACCATTAGTCCAAGTTCATTACAAGGTCGGCTTTCCTGGCTTTCTCAAGAAACATCATATTGAAATGCTTTATACAATAGTCTCAGCTAATTCATACTTTTACATTGGGCACCACATGTAACTAAGAACATTTAGTTAAGCATCGACATGCAACATTCCATCGCAATTTAATATCCAAATGTCAACCACTTCCTTAAATTAAAATCTCAAAAACATATCATTTCATGTCACTGAATTTAAAAAAAAAAAAAAAAGTGCAAGCGGTCTTTTACAATTTTGTGTTTTTCCCAGGCTTCTTCATTTAAAGTATGCAGTTTTATATGCTAAGTTTCAGCAAAAATAAAAGACAATTTTTACATTAATTCAGGGCATTTTGTTCATAAATTTAAAACATATGAGACTCAAATATGATTTTAAATCTTTTATTGAAATAATACAAATTATTGTATTATTTTAATAAATTAATACAATAACTTTTTGAGATAACAATAGATTTACCTATACAGTCAAAAGTCGTTAATCCGGACTCATCGGGACTTCGGCGATTCCGGATTATCGATTTTTCCGGATTATAGATCATCAGTTTAAATCGCGTAAGATGGCATGCAGAAATTATAAAATTAAAAATATGAAACCGTAAATTATGAAATAAAGAGCAATTATGATCTAAAGGGTATCAAAATTTTACTTTATTAAACATTTCTTTCAATGTAAGTTGTTTAAGTTGCTTCGTTTTATGTGATAATACTTTCTCTTTAATTCTATAAACAGACATAATTTTTTATTCAGTTACAAAGTTCCGCTGTTCAAGTCCCGTTAATTGCTGTGCCGAGAATACCAACTAACTTGTCAATCGAAATTTTTTCGTTTTCACTAACCTCTCTGTCACATTCTTCATGTCTTTATCCATTTTTTGCAGCAATTCCACTTTTTGTTTGATGGACATCGAAACATACTTTCATTTTGTACGATCCTTTGGGAGCTCCAGAATCGGAAATTCTATTTGACATAATCGAAAGTTCAAGTTTACTTTTATAGTATTGCTCTTAGAGTCTGCAAAAAATAATAAGCCGTATCCAATTCGAAAATTAAGGAACAACACAATCATTAACATTAACTGAAATAGATAATTAGATAATTTTAGCTTATACCGTCCGTTATACATAAAACGCGCGTGCGAAAACGTATTTTGCGCTTGTGCACACACAAATGCGCAGTCGTAAGATGTCTTACGTGCACGCGTAAACGCCTATGCGCATGTGTCAACGCGGCGCATGCGCAAAAAGTTTTTAGCTTTGAGGTCCGGATTATGGGTGTCCGAATTAACGACTTTTGACTGTAGCACACTTTATTATTTTAAGGAAAACTATATATTCCCAACATTTTAATATGTATATAATTTTTCAAAACTTTCAGTTTACAATGTTTCTTTTTAGTGTGTAAAACAAAGCAAAAATGCAAAGTCTGTAATCCAGACTCGTCAGGATTTCGGCGATTCCGCATTAGGGGTTTTTCCAGATTATAGATCATCAATTTAAATCTGGTAAGATGGCAAGCAGAAATTATACAATTAAA